CTCTCTTTGGACATTCTTAATGGAGTGCATCTATCACTGCTATGTGTCTGCCAACCCTGAGCATGATGGATATCAGTTCCTGGACTTTGCTGTCCTACAGCTAACATATACATAAAAATATAACTCTTGTATTAGAGGAATGGTGGTTTTATTTCTGACTGTGTACCTAGAGTCACAAGCATTGCCTGCTTTGCGGAGCAATAAATTTAATACATTAGTTAGTGTATTATTTTTTTAATGATTTATTTGTAGATTATTTCAATTTAAAATGAGATTTTCAGGTAACAAGGTAGGCAAACATGTTTAACAATGCTATGATATAAATTGCTGTGGGTGACAGATCCCCATAAAAATTATAACAGGCAGATGTGCAGTGCAAAAAATTATTCATGTGACAGCAATCAGAAAGACAAATTACTTAGAGACGATGTACATGCTCCTCTATAATTGCTTATAAATTATTATGGTTCATGTTAAAATGCATCTAGACTCCCTAGACAACTAGATTTATTTAAAATAAGAGTAATGGGAAATTGCCAGGAAATGTTGAGGAAGAAGATGCAGTACATGCTTTGGATGATTGCTGACATAAAAGTACAACAACTTATTGTCAGCCAACTCAATCTATATTTTCCTTAGTAGTTTTGTAGCTTTCATTTTCAGTTTGCTCTCTGCTCAGGTTGCAGTAGCCTGGGTAGGTAACTGGGATGGGCCCCTTTGGGCTGCACTGTGGTTCACTGCTGCTGTGTTTCCCAGCTCATGGGGGACACAGTGGGATGCTGTTCTGCACCCATGCAGGAGAGAGCACTCCTCAGCACTTTCATCTTCTATGCAATAGGGTTGAATTTAGTCAGCTGGGGTAGAAGTTATGCAAAGGGGATGGGGAAGATTGACAGATAGGTGGGCAGACCACTTTCCCTTAGGAATCTGAGATAAAAATGGGACAGTGTTTTCTATAGTCTCTTAGTGTTCCAAATTAAAAAATAAAAATCTGTCTTGGAAGTGTGTAAAATAAGCATCCACAATAGACAGGATTTAATTTGAATAAGCTTTCTGTCTGGCACTTACCAGGTGATTATAGGGTAGCAGAGAAATGGTGTATATACATTTATTATATAAGTGCCTCTCTAATGCTATTATTTTTCTCACCAACATGATTATATTACATATTGAGAGCCAGCCCAGCAAAAATGATAGCAAACTTTGTTCTGGATAATGGAGTGCTGAACTCCACCTAAGCAACTCCAGTCATTTGTAATGACAGCTTGGAGAATACTCCAAACGAATCTAACAATGCTCACGCTCCAGTGACTGACAGCACAGCAAGAGGAAAAAATTCCAGTTTCCATGTGAGTGCAGGGAGCCTGACCTAGATTTTAGCCTCAACAGCTTCAGAAGAGGAAACATTCTTACCTGTGTATTTAACAAGAAAAAAGAGCAAGGGGAAAAACTTGGCTCCTGTTTGATTAGTCTTTCTTCAATAATTAAGATTTAGTCAAGGTGCTCTTGTGAGACTTCTCCTCTCCACAGCTGTCATCAATGCTATAATGACTAGTTGCTCTGTTCCCTGTGTGCTCTTTTCTCTGTAATTACCCCCTCCTGGCCTGCTGCAGGAAGAGGTGTCACAGGGGAGCAGCTGGGGCAGACAGGACCATGGGCAGCAGCCTGCCCGCACCTTCCCCCTCCAACCCAATCCCTGTTGGGGTCAGCCTCCTTTGGGCTGCTCAAATTCTTTCATTCAGATACTGTTAATAGGGAAAAAAGTCTCTAGTGTAAATTTCCTTTTCTTTCATTTCTTCCTTGGGCTGCAGGTGCTCTGCTGGGCCCAGGTTGCCGTGTGGGGTGCCTCCTCTGGAGCGCTGGCAGTGGCCAACAGAGCTCCGGCCCCACCATTGCGGTGTCCTCTGGGGACAGTTGGAGAGGGTTTTTAGCCACTCTGGTACCCTGGTTGTAAATTACTGTTCAGATGCCTTTCATCTATTCCACTGTGCTTCCTATACTTCAACAGCTCAAATTCTGAAATTAGAAGTGCATTCAAGAAGGGAAAATAAATTTTCAAATGAAAGTGGAGGACAAGGCAGATTGAATGGCACTGAGGGTTGCTTAGTGTTTGTTTGAACTGTGCTTTTACAAGTTTGGTGTGGATATGGGAGAAATATCATTGGAAGCAAGGTATTTTGAGCTTCCAAATTTGGATTTCCATATTGGGTCAGTCCCTAACTACATAACTCCTACTAATTGTGACTCTCCTCTGTGAAATAAAAAAATCCTGGCACTGCTGTCCTTGATCCACAAGCTTTCCATGTGTGTCTCATTGTTAGTTATTCTCTGGTGTGGTTTAACTTTGTTGAACCAGCACAGGTTTGAAAGAATTAGGTGGTGTGACAGGATTCAACTGACGCAAGACTGACAGAATTAATTAGATTGGCTGAGTTAATTAGATTGGCTGAATTAGTTTAGATCTAAATTCCAGTCCTGTACACCTGTATTCATTTCAAGTTACAGCCCTACTTAGACTTCTGTGACTTTGCTAAACGACAGTAGAGAGAGGATACCTTTGGGAATACCTATGTGTCCTGGAGAACAAGGGATGAGCCATCTGGAGAGCTCAGCACTGCATTGCACATCCCCCACTGAGAGAAGGCAGCTGTGAGCTCTGCACTGTTCTTTAATTGTAAATCACACCTGCCTAAAGAGCAGGACTTAAAAAAAGCACAGAGCTTCTCTGAGGAAGCTCAGTGTGGAGTAGGATGACACCTGCTCAATGTAAAACTCCTGTCACCTATATAAAATAATTCATATTGTCAGAACCAGGCATTTAATGTAAAAGTGGATTGGATGGGGTTGTAGGACTGGGAGAACCAGATTCTTTCTCCAGGTCTGCTGTGGGCTGCCCATGTCTGTGCAGCAGCAGCAGAGACAGAGAGAGGTCAGTGTGATATTTCTTGGCGTCCTGGCAAGGGCATGTTCAAGTTACAGTGTGCAACTTTGGTCATGGTGAAGGATGTTATAAACCTGGAGGAGATGCACTGAGAAGAAATGCTCCAATACAAGACTTCCAAATAATGATTATCCAAGCCTGTCCTACTGTGTGTGGCTCCAAGTGTTAGAGGAAGGACACAGCAGAAGCACTGAGGAAAAGGAACATCAGTAAATTGCTACTGGCCTTTCAGTTGATGTCATTAACAGCAGCCATTAAAAGCAATGAATTTTAATTTAAATCAGTAGAATATTGTCAGAAAAAAGAATGAAAATCAAAATTGAAGTTAACTGGAACAGTTAACTGTGTACACAAATTCAGGTGAAGGGTTTGGTTTGGGGGCTTTTTTGATGAAGAAAGAAGTCAGCTGGCACAAATAGCTGCTGCTTTTGCACCTGCCTGTGGAGCGGGGGGCAGGAACAGGAAACACCCTGGGGGTAAAGGTGTTCCATGATCTCCCTTCACCTATCAAATCTGTCATGACTAATATTTTGAGTAATGGGCTTCCCTTCCCTCCTGAGATTGTTAGTTGTTTTTTTTAACAAGTTTGTTTTGCAGCAAGATGTTACATGGAAGTTTTTATATCAGAAAAGTATTAAAGTGGTCAGTGTCAACAAGTTTAACATGTGGCTCATGTGATCACAACACTTAAAGCTGATTTACTGCAATGGGAAAATTAAAACCTTCCATTTGTCGTGGTTACCTTTCAATGATTAAAGAGAAACCTCAAAACTTGGTAGACATAAATAAAAGGCTTTAAAAGTCACCAAAAATAGGATCAGGCATGATATTCCATGTACAGAAATTTTTGTTCACTACCTTTGTTTAGGAACTAAATTAAAAAATCACTTGATGACAGAATGCAATTAACAATGTGTATTAAATAGAAAGTGTATGAGGATATCCAACATTTATAGTATGAGAATTGATACTGTAAATGCACACGAGGCAACTTGAGAGTTATGTGGTAGAACCTAAGATACTGCATTAAGGGAAAAGATGTTCCATTTACTTGTAGCATAATATGATCAATAAATTCTAAAAGCTGCATATTTAATGAAGTCTATCAATGTTAGGTATTGTTTTTGCCTTTTGGTGACCTGCTTTTGAAATCTTTTTCTTTGGTTTTATTCCTGACTTATTTTCAAGCTTATAGTTTTTCCAGCAATGAAAAAGATTGAATTAAAAGGTCTCTGATAAGTGTTATGTTGATATGTGTGCATGTGCTAGGTCCGTATTATAACTAAGATAATAGCAATGGGAGAAAAAATTGTAGGGATAAGTGATCTTTTATTAAATGGTCTGATGTATGTTAATTTTAGAGTGAAGTATCAAGAAAACTGTTTCAAAAGTTTTTGCTGAAAAGAACATCAAAAGAGGTCCTTTTTTATTTGTATGACTCCTGTATTAAGTTTGATTGCATGGGCAGCATGTTGTAATTGTATACTGTTGTATATAATACAGACCTCTACAGCTGGATTAGGCTGTAGGGAAAAAACCCAACTATGTGGAACTGCCTTGAAAAGAAAATTCTAAATGTCACATCTGTTATTTGGGGATTTTTTTTGCATAACATAATTAACAGAGGTGGATGGAAAAGTTTTAAGGGATAAGATTGGCATCAAATGCCAATGTACGTTTTCTTCCAACAAGGAATTGGAGAATTCAAAACTGGTTTACAGGGGCAAGCTGTTAAAGTGCAAAACACTTGGTTGATTTAATAAAGAATTAGTGTTTTGGGGATGAAAGTAATGATATTCTAAAGATGTGGAATTGAGCAAGCTTAGTGCGCTCTACTTATTGCCTGCACATTCACAGTTACATGTAATTTAAAAAGGTGCATGAAACCCCTTTGCTGCCTATAACTGCTTTATGTCTTCCATATTACCTTAAAACAATTCAGCAGATGCCAAAAGCCATTTCTTTTAATGGGTACTGTATTGCATTTCCCAAGCTGCCTTTCACTATATTGAAAAATGTGTCTGTGTCTAATATTTCTTTATTATTGTTTTGCTTTCAGTTGATGGTTGCATTGACTGGTCAGTGGATCTCAAGACATACATGGCTTTGGCAGGTGAACCAGTCCGAGTGAAATGTGCCCTTTTCTACAGCTATATCAGAACTAATTATAGCATGGCCCAAAGCACAGGTCTTAGGCTTATGTGGTACAAAAACAAAGGAGATTTAGAAGAACCCATTATATTTTCCGAAGTTAGGATGAGCAAGGATGAAGATTCCATATGGTTTCACTCGGTTGAGCTGCAAGACAGTGGTTTCTACACTTGTGTTCTGAGGTGAGTATTGTGTTAAAGTCTAAATAAGAATGTGGGGATTGTTGGTTACTAATCTATGGAGTATTAGATACTGGTTAAAAAAAAATCATTTTAGCTATTAGAATTTAGATATTCATCCAGTTAATGCATACTAATTTTTTTATTCTTATATACGTCACATAATGCTTTGTCTCAAAATTAGTTTCCCTAGTAATTATAGTTACCTCATCCAACAGCTATAATTAACGTGGTTTCACTTAATTACTTCTTTTTTTTAAGTACAAAATTTGCAAATTCTCAATTTGCTGTAAACTTTCAGAACCTGATACTTCCAAAATCATGAAGTGTTTTGTTTAAGTACTTTGTTTCAAATCTTCTGAGTTATTAGAGAGTTACAGTTTGAATTATTCTGATGGGATCAGGCCACGGGGAGTTACAGTTCTGTCTGGTTTTGAAGAAATGTTTATTTTAATACACAATTATGATTTATCATACATTTAAGCAGACCTTGTTCAGTAAGGCACCAAAATGCATTTCTCAGAAGTATCTTGGAACTGTTGGATGAGCCTTAAATTAAACATGTGCTGGAGCTCGTGATTTCTATCATGTAGATGTGGATGTCATCTCTATGCCTAAAAAGAGATGATAAAAAAAAGAGGACTTTTAAAGAATGAATGAATAAATATTCCTTAAATGATCCAGTTTTGAATTAAAATGAGTTTACAGATACTTTGTATGATTTGGTTTTAAACTATTCAGTTTCAGATAATAAGTTTGCTTCATCTTTGTCTGCTCTTCCATACTGAAATTAGACATGTTCCATGAATTAAATAACGAGTATTACAGCAAGTAAGAGCACTGTTCAGAAGCCGGGATTTGCTCTCTGTCCATCTCTGCTGAGTTTTGCTGTCTCAGCTGCCTCAGCTCATTTTGATCCTGAGGAGTGCTACTGAAATCAAAGATTGTGCCATGGATTGTGTTGGTTTGTACTGGGCACCAAGACCCAGTTTAAATATTGGATATATCTGCCAAAGTCATCAGTTGAACTGTGCTGCAGCCTTTGGAGTTAACTTTTATCAGCTCCTCTGTCAGAGGTTGGGTGTGATGTGAAGTCCCTGATTTTGAAATATTACGGGAAAATGGTGATTTATATGTTTCAAGGGAGCTGTGCTTTTTTCATAAGCAGTCATTGTTGTGATAATCAAGTTACTGGTTTAATACTCTGAAACATTTTAATGCAAATCCTTTGTGAAAAATAAAGAATTGATCTTGGATCAAATTCTGGGACATACTTTTTTCCGGGAAATTTCAAAACTCAGCTCATTTACATGACAAAGTAGTTTTGGTAACAAATGGGCAAGTTCTTGAATAATTCATGGCTTCTTCTCATTTTCAGCTAAAAACTATATGACATGCTTATTGGAAGGCATTACACAGCAACTTGTCAGTTATGCAGTTTCCTTGCTTTGACTAGAACTTTCTTATATAATTACAGATATTTTTGCCTTTTTCAGATTTATGTCAGAGTGTAGAATAATATGTGTAGTGGTTACAGATAAAAGACTATATTGCTTCCTTTACTGAATTATTTTTTTCTCCCAAAAGCATGGTAATGTATCCTTGCTGTTATTGTTTATGGAACCATAGGAGGCTTAAAATAGCAGAGGATGTAGCAATAGTAATTGATTTTAATTTCATTAAAATTGAGCTAGATGTAATGTTCTGAAATGTGATCACACTTCTGTGGGAGACTATCCACACCATTAACTGTGTAATTTCAGCTTTATTAATCCATTTTTTTTTGAGGGGGATAAGCAGATGTTTGCGTTTTAGTCATTAACCAGGATCACCTGCTTTATCAGAATTAAGAGGTCACAATGAGAGCAGTAATTTCAGAATATGATTTTATTTTCCAGAAGCATTAACAATTTCTGTTACAAATGCCATCTTTTGTAGACTGTATCAACAGAGGTTGGTAGATAGAACTTGATGCAGTGGAAATGAAGAGGTAACTGTCTCCGTCAGTGTGCAACACTGGGTTTAAGTTTGAATGCATAGCTGAGTCTTTCAGTTTGGTAGCTGAAAGAAGAAAATGGGGAGGAAAATGCTTTTGATTCAAGATAAATTTAAAACTTTTTCTCAATAAAGAATTTCTCATTCACATTCTTTAAGAGAAAATCAGAAGCAATTAAATTCTAAACTGATGTCTTTCTAGCCACAAACCAGGGATGTGTGAAGCTCTGGTACATCTCTCTGCTGCCCAAAGCATGGAATCTCACATTTGCCTGTCCTAGTGGCCAGTTCCACCACTTCAAGGCTCTTGCTTTGAAACCGTTCTTTGTGCTTGTCTTTGCAAAAGGGTGCAAGGGGGTGAGATGCTCAGGTGTGGTGCAAAGGTCAAGTGGGATGAGTGGTCCTGGTCCCAGAAGTTCGTGGGTTGACAGGAAGGACAGTCTTGATCTGGGAAGTCAATAATGAGAGCTTCGTTAATTTACTCTGCCCCAATTTGTTACTTTTCTCCCAGTCAACACAAGATGACAGATAAGAAGACTGTATGGGGAAAATGTCAGCTGTACTTTACACTTTACAAATTTCTTATTTGTTAAAGTGTTTCTTCTCGATTCTTAATTAAAAAAAAAATTAAAAAAAAGAAAATAAGAGCAAACCTGTTTTTCAAGGAGCTGCATTTTCTAGTTTCTCACGTTTTGCTCATAGGAGCAAGGCATGACTATCAGTGGAGCAGTGTGAAGGAATTTTTCAGAAGCTGCTTGAAAAGGGTGGGTATAAGCAGGTGAAGGATAGGCTGCTATGACAGTGATTTGAAGATGGGTAAAAATTAAAGGTGTCAGTGAATTCTTTCTTATACATAATTGTCATTTCAGTGATCATAATGTCTGTTTTGTAAAAGAACCTGTAATACTGCATAAAATTAAGGAGTATTAGATCAGCCCTTATGAATGAGATTGCTTCTCCAGACTGAAGAGAATTGATATAATAATTTAAATGTTGCCTCTCCTTTATTAACTAATTAAACACTAGTCCATAGACAGGTGTGGGGGTGTGTGTATAATAGGAGGGATTTATTATTGCATTAAAACCTACTTCTCCCTTCTGACAATACGTTTTGGCATTGATCTCACACTGAGATGCAAACTGAAGTGTGGTATTTTTTCTCCAATGCTAAGCATATGAAAAGGTCCTGATTCTGTAAGGACTTTTAAAAGAATGCAGAGTTGAGCTGTGCTAGTTAAGCCATGTGAATTCCATGGATCTTCTTTGTTCTTGGATGCCTTTTCTGTGTCAAATCAGGGATATTGCTGCTACATCCAAAAGGCATCCTAAGTAATGGATAGTGATGTATTTCATTGCAGTTCCCAGGTAAATGCTGCGATGTTTGTATCATGCCTTTACTGCCCAGTGTGGAAATGCTGTGTTCTGGAGGTCTCCTTCAAGTGCCTACCCTGGATATGCCATTAATCTTCCAGCATCCAACAGTGCTGCTTTCAGATAAAGCTGCTGGTGTTTCTGTTACAGAGGTTTGATGTTCTGGGATTTTCACATCAGCACTCTGGATTGCAGCTTCTTCACTGAAGAATTCCGAGATGAGCTTCAAAATGATGAAGCGTCAAAACCAAACATGGAAATTACACTCAATCTAAATGCACAGGGTGGCCCTAAAGTTCTGAGTATATAGGACAGTCTTTTGCCAGATCATGATCTGCTTTTGCTCTCTGAACAAATACATCTGTTTTTCTGTGTTAAAAGCATGTTTTTTAAAGACAGAACAAGAACTGGGCCAACTTAGATCATCTTCACTTGGTGAAAGAAAAGAAGATGAGCTGGGGAAAAAAGTCTCAGGAAAATTTAACTTAAATTTGCCCTCATCTAGGGACTGCTCATGGAAACCTTCTTCTAACTAGGCTCAGCTCCAAAACAAACTGTAGTCAGCATTTAAAGAACAAAACCAGTAAAGGTAAAAAACATAAGTACATATTTGCTGATAATTAACTGTTGGTGAAATAAAATAACTTGATTCTCATATCATGAATCAGGAGGATAGAAAACCTGTGCCTCAAGAGGGTGCAGGGAAGCAGGAGGTGAAAATTAGTGGTCACCAAGCTGTCTAATGAAGCTAAGCCTTGATTTTTGTACAGGATGCAGAGTAACAAGGGAGTGAGGGCCTTGAATGCCTATGGGGGAATAAGCTTGCAGATCTCTAATACCAGCATTTGATGCCAGAGAACTGCTGACAAATCAGGTTAGGAAATCTCTGTATCCTTTTTCCCTTGATGTATCCCTGTGTGCACAGTTCACATTGGTGAACTATTGAGATACCGCTTTCTGAGCCATAATAAAATAAACCAGTAGTAGATTTTAAGCCTTCTGGCTTCTGAATGTCTGTGGAGTGGATGACCAGCAAATCAAAATCAGAGTTAGACAGCCTGGATGGGCTGGCAGTGAAATCTGCAGCACAACCTGTGTGCTCTCACTTCAGAGGATGTTAGGCAGGGCTTAGGGGCTTGTTGCAAGTGCCTACCTGGACTGCAGAGTGCACCCATCAGCCCAGGAAAAACTGCACCCCTTGTCTTAATGCTGAAAGTCTGGCTTCTGAGCAGAGTGAAGAAAAAAGAGGTGTTTTCGGATCCAAACAGAAATGCTGGACTAAGTCATAAGGTGAACATGTGTAGGGGTAAGGTCACTTTCTCTGCAGCCATCTCTTGTGGTACTTAAAATGTGTTTTAATGGAATTCTTCATTTTGTTGATGACAATACAGAATGTTTCGGGTGCTTTGGCTTTGCTCAGCATTCAACTGCTCATGACAAAGGTGATCTTGTATCTTAAACCCTGTTAGATGCAGCATTGTAATTCCAGTTTAGCCATAGAATATTGTTTTCTATATCTGTTACTGGCAAGTGCTTTTTTCCCTCATAGACTCACCCTGGAAAGATCTAGAGATGATACTTTCTTGTGCTAGGGCTAGTGCCTGTAATTATTGGATATCCAAGAGAAACACATCTAA